TGCAAAAGTAAATTCTGTCATTTCGATAGTCTTTCTTCCTGATATTGCGCATTACATTCTCTTCAGCTGCTGTTAGAATAAAAAATTAGAATTTAAATTCATTTGAAATTCGTTCTTTTCATTGATTTTATAAAGGTTTTATTGATAGGTCAAAACTTTTTGGCCTAACAAAGTAGTAATAACGTAAAAAAACATGCATAAGTTAATGTTGAGGATTTTTCCAATATGTATCTATGCAGCACACATGGATGTTTTCCCTACGAACTACGTCATTTTACATCTTGGCTTTTTTCTTTATGTTTCCACATATATGTCATTGGATTTTCCTTTTCTCTTCTATGCGTCACTCTATATGTATATATATCTACACATACATATGCTCGTGTGGGTGTGGGGTGGGTATGGGTGGTACTGTTATCATTGACATTTACATTGACATCCACACTCATTCATACTCACCCACGACCCACACAGCAATAGCCACACCAACGCACCCACTCACATCCACACCCTAAACGATCGAGGAAAGTGAAAACGAAAAGTGTTGATACTAAATAATTTTCAAGTTTTCAGACAGTATAATATCAGTGAATCTAAAACACATGTCTACAATTTAGCGTGACCGTATCAACCATATTAACGTTAGTATTTATTTATCATTTTTCTCGATCTTTGTGTGATCGAATTTAAAAGCACTATTCATGAGATGTTTTACAATAGAATCTGGTTCTCTTTCTGAGAAATGTTCATGAAATCGATCCATACAACCTTTAGGATGTTTTAATATCCACTTGAATGATGAAAAAAGACTCTTTTGTGGTAATGAAACGTTTGTTAAATAGATCGTATATGATGATGGTGAGTCTTTGTGAACATAATCAACTTGAAATAATGCCCATGGTAATATTAAAACTTCGCCCTCATCTTCAAATTCTCATAGACACGATTGTGCGTCAGATATTCGACATAAATTTATCGCTTGATCACATTGTACGGGAAAGTTGAATATGAATAGAACACGATTTCTTCGAATATTGTCTGAAATTTCAATTGCTGCATCTGCAAATTCTTCAGCAATAGAACGGCTTTGAGAAGTTGATGAAAAATGTTTAGTTTGCAAAAGACTTCCACGATTATGAACAGCCCATTCGTATGTTGCTATTTCATCATCAGCCATT